GTTGGTTGGGCCACCACTCAAACCGTTCTGGGTGTCTCAAGGGTACTGATGGGCTCTCAATCCTTTGTCGTTGGCTCAACATGTTGTGAACAGCTTCCCGCGTGGCTCAGCATTGCTGGCCTGTTCTGTTTTCAATTCCCGTGCTTGGATCAGCTTTGCTGTCCTGTTCTTTAACTTCTGTGACTATGGCCGCCGACGACCAGAGCGTTGCTGCCGCCCAGGTTATGAGCCAAGACTCGGCTGGGCTGGCCGAATCTATAGAGCGGGCGGCTGTGCCGCTTTCTCCAGTCGGGCGCGGCGAGCCGCCTGACGGGCTTGGCGACGACACGTGCGCGCGCGTGATATCCGTGCTGACGAACGCACCCGGTGGCCCGCCGCATGTTGCAGCCGGTGCCGTCGGGGTTGTACCTGCCGACTCGCTGTGTCTGTATCACTGTTGCAATGCTGCTTCGGACATGCCTTCGTGGTTGCTGGGCAGACGGGCGTCTGGTTACGCAGTCGCAAGGGGAAGAGTTGCCGCGGACGAGGCGCGCGCCAAGGAGCTCCAGGATCGCATCGCGCAGATGGCGCGCGACGCAGGGGGCGAGGCCACTGCTAGGTGGCTGCTGGGGACCGGGCAGGGAGCGCACAACAGAGAGGTCCTGGGCGGCCAGATCGTCGTCGAGCACTACGAGAACGAGGCGAACTCTGTCCAGAACCTCTACGGCGAAGGCCCGTTGACAGCGCTTTTTCGGCTTCATAAGCAATCATCTGGGGGCGGGCACGAGGTCGACCATTGGGCGCGTCTGCAGAGTTGGGTTCCGCGAGTTCCAGAGGCCTGTGCGCATGAGAGCGAGCGCGAGGATGCGCCCGCCGATCCGATTAGCGACGAGAGCTCCATACAGCGACGGTTGAAACTTCCAGGCGCAGCTACAAGCAGTGCTGAATTCGACGAGTTCATGATGGAGGTGGAGAGCGAGCGGAGCTGGTTGGAAAATTTAACGCCAGACCCTGATCCGCCTGCTCAGAGCATACTCGTGCAGACGGAGGCGGTGAAGGCGCTCATAGAGAAGAAGTACGCCTCTCGGGGCCCGTACCTGAAGCGGATTGCCCTGGGGGCGCTAGCTATGTATCGATGCCGGCTATCCGACATCTACGTTCGAGAGTACGTCATGATGATGCACATCGTACTTGGCGGTGACTACTCCGTCGCCCACGACGGGATCATGTATTTCTGGAATGGGAATATTTGGTTCTTCGAGAAGTGCGAAGGTCTCATGCCAGAGATTGTGCATGCTGCTCTGGAGTACCTCTTGACATTAGAGGGGCTCTTCCGGTCGTTTACTGGCGACCTTCGGCGGGATGACGAGGCCGCGCTGTCCGCTATCGAGGGGTCGTTGGAGAAGAGCGGGCCGGAGGCGAAGAAGGCGTTCGCCGCGTGGCGCGACAGCGCCATCTTCAACAGAGGAGGCAAAGGCTTTGGCAAGGGCGGCGGCATGGGAGGCGCGGGAGACACTGCGGTAGGGTTCGATGGCCTCACGCAGACGGAAGCGCATGGACTGGAGGGAGATGCGCCCGCGCTGGCGGACGACAGCGCCGCGCGCAGCGCGCCGTGGTACATTGCGATTGCAGTGAGCGTGGCCCGAGTTGGGCGAAGCTTACAGATCCAGATGATTCAGAACAAGCTGCCGACGTTCTATTGCGAATGGTGCGAAACTCCGCGCCCCTCCCACCGGGGCGTCGCCCGCCCCGACATCGCGTTCGTCTACGACCAGGGCGGACGCCCGATGAAGCAAATCGCAAGGGAGAGTGAACGCAGGAGCATATACATCGGCATACCGCGCAACATCCAGGCTTATTTGGGCGACCCAGCGTTGGAGGCGGCCGCGAAGGGATTGGATCAGTTCTACCCGCAGACATTCTGGGCAAACGCCGCCGCGCGCAAAGTGTGCGTGGCCGCCCTCGCCCTGGTGAAGAGAGGGTTGAACGTCGACCAGCTGTTCTTCTTCTGGGGGGCTGGCGGCGTCGGGCTTTCGCTGACGACGGCCCATCTCGACGCCATGCTGGGGCACTCCAACCACAAATATTTCGACCCGCAGGTGTTCTATCTGGACGAGGAGATGCGGAAGACGGTGGAGTCGCTCAAGGGCGCAATCGTTCTCACGGCACAGGAGAAGCCAGAAGGCTTGAAGAAGAGCTTCCGGGAGGACTTGTTCAAGAAGCTGGCGTCTGCCGATGGCATTTTTGGTCGACTCCCGTATCAGATTTTGACAAAGGTTCAATATCTGATCGGGTGGAAACGCATGGAGCTAAACAAGCTCATCACTTTCGACGGAGTCACTGAGGGTGCATTCCACGCAATTTACCCGATGTCTCTTCTGATCAAGATTTTTGCTAGGTTTGTCGATGCGGAGTACATCAGGCGCGCCTTACCGAACGCGGAGAAGTACGGCATCTTCCCGCGGGCGCCGGATCTGAAGCCATTCATGCAGTCGGGGCCCGCCATCGCCGCTGGTCTGCAACGACAGCTAGGCTTCGAGCGGAAATATGGCGAAGCCGCAGCGAGGTCGGTGATAGACGACTACTGCCTGCGCGGAGGAGATCACGGGCGCACGGAGAAATACATGCGACAGGCGTGTCTTCTTCCGGCGACGAAGCAGCCGCAGCCTGGCGGCCAGAGAAGCGCGGCTGCCCCGCCGCCCGGCGTCGACTTCGACGTCGGACTGGGCGGATCGCAGGAGACGGAAGAGCCCATGGCGCAGTTGCGCCGCCACGTCATTAATCAGATGCTCGAGCGGGGCTTCGACGCCTTGACGTTTCCATATTTCAAGCAGATGCCTGCAGGGCAGGTTCAGGGCGTGCCGGAGAGGAAACCGACGGTGTGGAAGGCGATGGAGTCCGCCGGGTGGTCGAAGGCTGGTCTGTATGGCAAAGCGAAGGACCGACTTTTACCGAAATTGTTGACCGCCCGCAAGTTCGATGATATTGTGCCGGCGCCGAACTTGGATGAGCCGACCGCGCTCCCGGAACAGTGGGGCCGCGCGGCGCTGAGCCGCTACGCGAACGGCAACGCTTGTCTCAAGCGCAACATCGACATCATGATTGAGGCCCTAGGTGTCGTCCCAAGGCCGCGCGGGCGGAAGAAGCGCGGAACGGAGACCGAGATGGGCGGCGACGCCCATCTGCGCGCGGTCGGCGCGTCCATCCAGGCAGGAGAGCTCGCTCTGGAAGGGTTGCTCGAGAGCGTGCGCGGGCGGCCGACCGTGGTGCCCGCCGACGCACCAGCGGAGAAGAAGAGGAAAATCTTTGCGAAGAAGAGCCTCAGCGGTGGCGCCGACTTGGCAGAGCGCAGCATTCCCTACACGTATAAACGCGCAGCGGCCCGTCGCTTCGCGGAGGGCCCGGCGGCGCAGGGGTGCCCGGCGCGCGTTCTACATCCGACGTTGCAAGGCACCGTGGATCTCGACATCCACAGCGCGGCCCCGGCCATCACTTGGCAGCTCGTGGAGAACATGGACATGGACGACAAGGGCCTGTTCAGAGAGGAGTTAGAGTTGTTGAAGCGGCCGGCCGAGGACAGGGGCGAGGTACTGCGCGGCGAGTTGCCGGACATGGGGCCCGAAGCGGCCAAGCGCTTCGTACTCGAGACCATCGGCGGGTCCCATTCTTTTGACGTCGATGCCAGGCCCTTCGCCAAGAAGTTGCAACGCGTGAGCCGCGTACTGCGGTGGCTGGCGTGCTCGGCGTTGCCCGAGATATACGAGAGCTTCTGCCAGGGCGCCGCGCAGGGCGACGGCGAGAAGACAGAGAAGTGGCCAGAGGGGCACATGTTCTCGACTTTCTACCAGCGCGCGGAGGACTACATCCTCCGCCAGTGGCAGGCGTGGGTGCTAGCGCACCAGGTGAAGCATTTGTCCCTGCATTTCGACGGCGTCAGGGTCAGCAGGGACGCGGTGCTCGCCAACCATGCCACCGTGGCGGACTACGCCGCTGACGCGAGTGCTTACATCGCGAGGGAAACAGGCTTCGTAGTCAAAATCACAGAGAAGACCCACCCGACGATCGCGGAGGCACTTACGAGCTGCAAGGCGTGGCGGCCGGTGGAGGCACCAGCGGCGCCCAACGACCTACTGAAGCCAGGCAATGGCATTCTGTTGGCGTTGTGGCGAGGCGGCGACGCCAGGGTGTCCGCGTCCGTTGAATCTGGCGCCGGCGCCACGTCCGTGGAGAACAATGCTGCCGGCGTGGAGAAAGGGAGGACGTATGCGGAGTGTTGCCTGGAACACGGCGTGTCAATGACGCCGCAGCTGGGTTTCGATGCTTGCGTGAAGGGCCACTATCTTCTCCACATGGATGGGGGCGGTTTGCCATCGTGCGCACTCGTCCACGTGGGGGCTGAGCTCGACAAGGCGACGGCTTATTTTCATGGCAAAGCCGGCGAGGTGAGTCTGGCAGCGGTCCATGATGCCGTCCTCGCCGGGCGAGACTCGAGGCTAGCAGTCGCGTTTCACGTTGATTTATCTCCGGCGGCGCAGGCGGCCGCCGAAGGCAGCGGCGACGCCAAGCGCTTGGAAGCGCTCTTGAATATGATGGCGTGAGGCCCGGGGCAACGCATTCTCTTTCACAGCCCCTCGCTCCGCCGGGGCCCTCTGGGCAACGGGCCCCGTCGCATTGACCATTGCTTCGCCGATCCGCACAGCCGGCGCCCTGGCTTACATCCAGTAGGGGAATGAAAAGTCAAGCAATATTCGCATCCATTCATCGCCATGCTAGATATGGACTCATGCGTTTTCAGAATAGACTGGGGGAAAACAAATTTACATCGATGTTATGAGCAGCTGTCTTCACAGGTGTATCTGCGTGCCGTCTCGGGCGCCGTTCGCCGCGTCCGCTCAAGTCACATCTGGTGCGTGGGTCGGCATTGCCGCCTTGTGCTCTCTTTGCTTCATATATACCCGTATCCCCCCGTGGGTCGGCCTTGCCGCCCTGTCACCTCAACGCCCCGCCGCCCGATACCCGGCATGTGCGAGGCGCCCGCGGTTGTCGAAGACGCTGATCCGCGCGGAAGGCGACTGCGATGTGTTTCTGGAGTCAAACGGTCCATTGAGTATGTATCCGTCCAGCTTCTGAGCAGCACTGGAGAGCTGGGAGATGCTGAGAGGCCCGCGACCCCAGACCCCTACCTGCCTGGCGTCAGCAAGCGGCAGTGGGAGGCCAAGGTTGCTGCTTGGCGCAATGAGATGTCCCGACTTCTTGACGAGGTGCCGGTTGGTGCGACGGAATTGGCGGCTGCCGATGAGCTCGGCGTCTGGATAGAGCCTTCGCCGCCCGCCGTGCGCGGCTGTCGCGCGCTCCTGCAAGCTGGAAACAGCATCCTGCTCGCCTACAGCATCCTGACGCGGGACTTCCGCGGCTGCATCGATTATTGCGCACGATTTCCTGTGCCTGGGGATGGCGGAGCGTCGCTACGCCGACGTCGCTGAGCATTTCGGCTTCTCATTGACCGCCGTGCGCCCGCAAGCTGCGCGGCAGGGCGCTTGCTCACTCTTGCCCGGGAAGTATTTCTGTCATCTGAGGGGCCATTGCCACGCTGCAGCTGTTCTCCCAGGGGCATCTTCGGCGATCGTGTGGAGAGGATTCAGCCGGCACGTTCTGCCGACGGCGCAGTGGGTCCGCCGCGTCGAGGAAGTCGAGGGCGCGTTGTTGCACATCACTGACAGCAGTGAATGCACACTCGACGTCGATTTGACAACTGGGCGGAGATCGCGGGAGACCGCGGCCGATGGGCGCGTCATGGGCGCCGACGACGATCCGCTGGGAGGCATGGTGCATGGGGGCGGGGGATCCAATGCATGTCTTAGCTCTGCTCTGAATGCGTTGGGGGCACAGGTGCCGACCGGCGTGCAGGGCCCATTCCGTGCGCTCGAGCACGGGGACCAATGGCTGTCACATCTCGGCCTCGCCCTGATCCGGCAGCCTCGGGGCCCGACAGGCCCGGGGCGTTGCGTCAGGTGCGAGCCGCCGCGGCGCCCTGGGCCGCGCGGCGCGAGGCGCGTCGGCCACTTCACAGCCGTTATACTGCGGCCAGGCGGCGCCACTGTGATAGACAGCCGAACAGGCCTGCCAGCGATTCGCGAGTGGCGAGCGTGGAGCGACATTCCGGACGTGGAGGAGCACAAGTGGTTCTTGTTGGTGGAGCTCGGCGCGCGGGGGCCAGGGCCCGAGGTCGGCCGCCCTCTTCCATGGGGCACGACTTCGGATATGATCGAAACTCACCGGCTGGGCGCGCTCATCCGTCGGCGCGCGGCTCGCGAACGAGCGGCCCCCTATGGGCGGGCTTTGTCGTTGGGCTCGCTCGCGCCGCAGGAGGCGGCCCTAGTATCAGCACACCGAGAGGAGGTAATGCAGCGCAGATCTTCGCGTCTGTTTTGCCCGTTGCCGCCAGTGGGGTGGCCTGGCACTCAGGTGCCGCCAGTCCCGTGCGAGTTCGCACTCGAGCTGCCGCGTCTTCCGAAGATTCGCTTACTCGAGCGGCTCAACGCTCACCCTCGGGACTCTCAGTTGCACTTCGTCGAGGAGTCGCACTCCTACTGCATTCGCGGCGCGCGAACGCATGGGTCAGTCACGGGGTTGATACACGAGTACTCTAGTGGTTTCGACGCTTGCGCAGTGATTGAGAAGATGCGGAACGGGCGGAACTGGCCGCGACCGGATTATTTGCGCCACCCTTGCCCGGAAGACGCGGTCGTGGCGCTGCGGGCCGCGCCGGAGGCTGCTCGCCTGCGCGAGTTACTTGTGTCGCACGGTGCCTGCGACGCCGAGATCTGCGCCGAGGTGAAGGCCACTGCGAGAGCGGCTCCCCGCCTGGCATGCCTGATGGAGAGTTTATTCCTCTCGGATCCGGAGATCGTGGAGAAATGGCGCCTGAACAAGGAAGAGGCGGCTAGGCGGGGCACCTGGATGCACTGGACGTTCGAGGCCCACCTCAACCGCGTTCCGGTACCCCACGACGCCGTGGAGTTCCAGTTATTCCTGAAATACTTGGGCGCGCTGAGAGGTCTGACGGCTTTCCGCACCGAGTGGGCCATATTCGCCGAGCACGAGGGGCTTGCTGGGTCAATCGATTTCGTGGCTCGAGACTCCGCGGGCAGCTTGTACATATACGATTGGAATCGGGCGAAGACTTTACGTTCAAAGTACACGAACCCGTGGCAGAATATGAAGTTTCCGTTGAGCCGATGGCCAGACTGCCAGGGAAACCATTACCGGGTGCAGCTCAACATTTACAAGTGGATGCTGGAACGTTACTACGGCGCCCGCGTGGCTGCGATGTATGTGGTCTGCCTGCATCCGGACAACGGCGACCAGCCATTCGTGGGCGACGTGCCGGTGATCCCAGAGATCGAGGAGCTCATGGCCATTCAACGCACGAGGTCCCGAGAGTTGCGAGCCATGGCATCGGAAAACGCCAGCGAGATGGACCCTCTGGGCGGCTGGCCGCGGCCAGTCGTGGCGGCGCGCTTGCCTTAATGCGTGCGCACCGCGGCCAATTTCGATCGTGCGTTTCGCCGGCCCGCAGTGGAGGTCGCGCCCTGGCGAGGCCGTTGCGATTGCGCGCCGCCTTCATGAGGTGCCGTTGCACTGGCGCTCAAGCTCTGCGGAAGTAGTGGTGCGATAACGCAATATAGAAAACAGTATTTGGTTGTTCGGATAAATGCGTTTGCCAGATAACAGTTCCGCGAGGTAACAGGTTTTCCAGATAATGGGAATTTCAGCAGAGGCCTGTGTCACAAGTAGTTCTAGCACGGGTATATGCTGCAGTCGTCGTCGCAGTAGTACTCAGCACAGAGCAAACCGTAGCTGTTTTTCTCTCAAGGACCATCGCTTTGGCGTGGCTCGGCTTTGCCGGCCTGTCATTTAATTATCTGTATCGCTAGCCCTTGCCGGCCTGCTGCGCTGCCTCGTGGAGGATCGGCATTGCTGTCCTGTGAGTTGTCCTGTACTTTGGCGCAATGGCCACCGACGCGCAGCGCGCTGCCGGCTCCCCGTTTCTGAGCTCGCAGTCCCCTGAGCTGAGCGACCCCCCGCCGCGCGGGAGGCCTCGCCAGCTGCGCGCTTACTCTGGCGCCCGCTCGCTGACGCCGGCGCGCAAGAAGCATCGACTGTCCTCGCGGGCTGCGCGCGCGGCTGCAGCGCGAACCCCTTCATCGTCTCCGGAGAGAGACGACGCCGCTGACATCGAGGCTTTCGCGCTGATGGTATCAAGGGTCTCAGATGAAACATTAAATTCTATTATGTCATGCTTCCCTGCCGTGCGGAGACGTACATTAGCGCGTCGTTTCGCACGGCGTCAACATATTTGCCAAGACAGAACGTTTATACTCGTGAGGCCGGTCAGTTCGAGCAGGCCCAGGGCCTCGCGTGGCCCGCGCGGCGCCGGAGTGCCCGGAGTCCTTGCTGTTGCGCCTCGCTGGTTTCAGCCTGCCAACGCAGAACTTGCCTCGGCGACAGCCCCGAGCCCAGTTCGCGATCGCTGTTTCATTTGCGGGTTGGATGACGGCGACGTCGACGGCATCGGCCACTATCTGGAGGGGTGCGTGGCCACGGTGAGATCATTTCCGTTCCCAGAAGTTACCCATTTGCGCGCGACGACCTCCGCGTGGGCCATGTTGGCGCAGCGATTGGAACCTCACGGCAACGTATTCGCGTGCGCGCGGTGCAGCGGGGTCTGCGTGGCCTGGGAAGACACCCTGAACATAGATTTCGCTCCGATATGCTCAGACTGCACAGGCGACAAGCGGTTTGAAAACAGGGACGTGAGCCGACTCGCGCCCGCGATTGGACTCGGGGCGACGCGGCGGCGCCGGCGCCATTGCGCGGGCCCCCGTCGAGCTCGGGCCGCGATTTTCGATCGCCACTTTGCGCCGACACAAGCGCAACATCTCCATCATATCTAGATTCTCTTCCCGCCTTCCCATGTGTCAAACGTGGCGTGGGGCTTTCAAGTCGCTCGATATCCCCACTAGTCGAGCTCTTACACGTTCGACGTCAGTGCCACTGATGGGTCGTTGCTTATCTCTCCTCATCGCTCTCCGGCTCAAGACGCGCGTTTCCCGTGGGTCGGCTTTGCCGCCCTGTGCTTTCTTTGTCGCACCACCTGTGGGTCGGCTTTGCCGCCCTGTTTTTTGTTCTACCACCTCCCCGCACTATCCCACATGCGCGGCGCACTCGCTCAGCAGGAGCAGGACGCTGCAAGGCTCGCGCCGGCGCCTACTTGGAGACGGATCAGAGGCAAGAGCGCGGCGGACGACGTCGGCGAGAGCTGGGTGTGCCTCGCGGCCGAGCAGCGCGAGCCCCACGAGCTCGCGGACGTGGGCTCGGCGGAGACACCTGAATCCCCGAGCGGCGATGAGGGTGAGACAGCGGTGCGGACAGATTTGTTCGACTGCCTGGAAAAGGAAGTCAAGAGCTACTCTGCCGGGGTGAAGCTCCTGCGCCCCAAGCGGGACAGCGAGGGCGTGCAGTTGAAATTTGCTTGCGGTTTATGTCCGTTCCGGTCGTTCTCGACGCAGGTACTCCTGGCCGCGCACGTCTCGAAGTACCACCTCAGAAAGACGCGCTTCGCGGCCTCTGGCACGAAGCAGTTCAATGTCGTGTGCGCGTTGTTCGACAACGACCGGCTTCTGCGAGCTCCAACGGGGAACCTTCTGAGGCGGTCTGCAGCGATCCTGCGCGAGACAGTATCTCCTGCCGTTCATCGCGGACAGAACGCCATTAACAAGGACATTGTCTTAGTTCTCGACGACGACGGGCCCTCGTATCAGAACACGGCAGCAGTGGGGCAGAATCTCGCGTGCAGACGAGTGGGGTACACGTACTATACCCGTGGCTTCGCCGATATCCTGTTGCAGGAGTCTTTGCGCCACCATGGGCGCGTGCGCCCGGCGATGCTGCGGGCGTGCGCTCGCGTCGCGGAGCAGGGCTCCGAGTTGAGCAGCATGCTGCCGACCGCCGTTGAGCACTGTCTAAAACTTATGGAAGACGTGTTCAACTGCGCGCACGTAGAGAGGCGCAGCGCTGCGTTGATGGAAGAATGCCACCGACGCAAGGAATCCCTCCACATCTCTATGGACGCCACTATCCGCATTCTGCGCAATGTCAAGGGCCAGGCAGATTATCGGTCTGCAGAAGCAGTGCGCGACGCTGCGCCCGTGCCAGACGTGGACGCCAAGCGCCGCGTTCTGACTCTCGCGGGCCGGACGGGCGCGGCGCTCGGCGTTTTCCGGACGAAGGACGAGGGGGCTGATGAAATAGCTGGAGCCCTTGCAGCTCGTTGGTCGGCGGCGTGCAGATCGCAGACGGCGTCCGTCGCCAGTGACCAGCCGAGCAGCGCGCTATTCCGCGCCTTGCGAGGTTCATGTTTTCCCAATTTATCGGTCTTGAGCCTCGACCCGGTTCATCTGCCCATCACGTACGAGGAGACGCACTGGAGGAAAAAGACAGTGAGATCGCGACTATTGCGGATACTAATGGCCAAGTTTACGAAGGTGGACTGCACGCTACCCGCGCACTACTGGGGGGCGCCGTTCGACGGGGCGAACGCCCCGAACCTGCGGCCAATAGAGGAGCGCGCGCGAGCACAGATACTCGATCATTCACTGGTGAAGTCGCGAGCTCAATACGTTATCGACAACGTGAACGCCGAGCTGCCATGGAAAACGACGCACGAGTTCATCGAAGCTATCGCCGCGCTGATCGCATTGGTTGCAGAAGAGCTTGCTCGGCGCACTCACGTGAATAACGTTCAACTCAAGAGATTGCTTTACAATGCGACTGCCCCAGCCCGCATGCAATGGTTTTTCAATAATCAGCGATTCAGGCATTCCTTGCCGGCGGCGCGCTCAGCCCTGTTGGGGTCTGGCACGTCCGTCAGCGAATCCTTCAACCACGAAATCAACGCGTGGTTTCGCAACCAGGGAGACATCTACGTTTCGACGGCGGAGCTGCAACTTAGGATTGGCTTCTTGGGCAAGCTGCAAGCCCACAATTGCGCGCAGTATTCGCCGACGCTGCGGCAGCTGCGACAGGCCAACGTGCTATCGCGAAGCATTATGGCATGGGCTTTCCCCGTGGATGATTGGAAGAGTTACTGTGCGCTCCTGGAGCAGCGCGGCGCCGACGTCCTGGCGCCCGTGCGGCTTCCGCTCCGCGAAGCCCGACAGAGAGTCGCACGGCTGATTGCCGAAAACGCCGCGTGCGCTCGGGGAAAGCCAGCGGCGCGCGAGGCCGCGACTGCCGGGCGGCGCGGTGCTCAGAAGAAGCCCGCTGCAAGGGCGCTCTTGGACAGTCTGCGCGATCGCAGAGTGCCTAGGATCAAGAGAACAGCTTTCACTTTGAAGCGCAAGCCCGCGTCGCGCGGCGCTGCTGGCGAAGCTCCCACCGCGCTCGCTCGCCAGCGGTAGCTGATGCCGATTTTTATCTCTTCGTCGGCGTTCAAAGTTTCCATTCCGTGCCCTTCCTCTCCCTATGCGCACTTTCTCAGAGTCGGTCTTGGGACCGTGTCTTCGGTGGAGCCTCAAGACCTTACATCCATGGGCGCCTGATCATAGACATCGTCACGACAGTGACTTCTTAGTTGGTTGATTTTTCCCCAGAGCTGCGCCCCCGCCACTACGGGGGAAAAATGCACGGCGCGAGTCCTACTGTCTCGACGCCTGGGTCGTCGGAGTAGGAGGAAGCGAGGAGGCCACAACGACGCTTGCCACAACGACGGTGCAAGTGATAATGAGGATGGTGATGATGATGGTCATGCTGGTTACGATGATGACGATGCTGATGATGATGGCGATGAAGATGCGTATGAGGAGCAGAAAAAGGATGAGGATGCATGAGAGCAGGAGGATGATGAGGAGGATGATGGAGGGTGGGGAGAGGGAATCGGAAAGTCGGCGAAGGCCATGATGAGGAGAAAGGGAAGATGAACGATATAACGAAAGGGTGAGGACAATTACGAGGATGAGTCATGCTAAAAAGATCACAAAGCATAGCATAGCAGGAGGGATAAGGGTAGTGATGGAGTGAAAATACGGAAAGAGAGGGAACGCACATTATACCACAATCGTCCCCTCACATATACATATATATAGATATACATGGGCGTATGCATGCATGCATGTATGTATGTAGTTGATGTATGCCTGTCTGCCTGTCTGTATGTATGTGCGTATGTATGTGCGTAATCTTGTATGCATGTAAATATGATTGTGTGTATGTATGTATGCATGCATGCGTGCATGCATGTATGTATTCATACATGTTTGTATGTACGTATGTATGTATGGTCTATACAAACAAGACTTCAAGCTTGCTTCGCTTCGCTTTACAGACTTTGTATAGTGCACTGTTTGCGAGGCGAGGGGGTGGTGGACAAACGGGCGTGTTGTGCCGAAGCGCAATTATATGTGGAGGTAGATGGGGGCTGCGAGAAACGGCAAAGCGCGTGGGGTGGTGGAGGAGGTGTGCGCGGTTCG